ACCTTCACCAGGGCGGTTTTAGTGCTATGATGAGCTCTAAAGCTAGACTGAAACTCTTCAAAAGTTCATTATGGTTCATTATGATTGCACACTTGTTTGGCAACTACTTTCTCAAGAATTTTAGATAAGAAAGGAAGATTGGATATAGGTGTAAAATTGACCAAGTCATCTGGGTCAAGAGACGGCTTCTTAAGCAAAGATTTAATTACAGCAAACTTAAAAACCTTTGTTACATATCCCTGTAACAGAGATAGATTAATCACATAAAATGGAGGATGAGATCAAAGGGAATACTTCCTTAAATAACCTGGTTGTGACTGGATCTAACATACAAGTTGAAGGCTTAGATGAAGACAATAGTTTTGCTAATTCTGAAAGTTCAACTGGATCAAAGCAGTCTAAACCTGGTTCAGATTCCATGAGAATAAGATTTAGAATTTGAAATAAATACTAAGGCTGCTCTTTTCCCAGTGACTGCCTCTTTGAGTGTAAACATACCTGCTGTGAAGACCATTAAAATGTTTAGTTTTTCACTGCTGAAAGCGCAGGCAAATTATAAAGTTACAGCTCAACAACCTGTCAATCACTATGTAAATGCCATATTTGAAAACTTTCTATTTTGGGCAGACTATGTCCAACTGCGTGTGTATGTTGTCCACACATAATAAATCAGGAATAGGTGAGGTTATAACTCAGAGCTCATGAATACAGAGGCAGAGGGTGTTGAGGCTTTGGCTAAAGATGGGGTCTCCTCTTTGGGGTCCAAGTGCTAGGCTGCCCTGGAGGGTTTTTTGGTCTCTATGGGGACGAACTGTGTCAAGATTACACTTGGACTTGACCTCACGGTGAGTCTCATCTCATGAGGAAAATTATTTTCTCAACTAGTCTTTAATTCTGTGTTTTTTACAGTTATATGTTGAACCCATATATGTTTAATACAATATTATGAAAAAATAGCTTCTTTGTTATTTCAAACCATATTTCGATGGAAACAATTTTACTAACAACAAAATTGTTTTGTATTCAT